CACTGCACTCCAGTCTGGGTGACAGAGTGAGGCTCCAACTCAAAAAAAATAAAAATAAAATAAAATAAATAAAAAAAAATAAAAGTAATGCAGTTACCTGACCTACCAACATCTGTAAAAAATAAGGACCAAGAGCAGGGTGGGGTTGAGGCCTGTCCTTCAGGCTGAGAGTAGGATGCTAAGTGCAGACAAGAGTTAAACTCCAGTGAGGGGTGCACTGGAGGCACCCAGCCACTTTTGGGAGGGGCTGGGTGTTCCTCTTTTGGCTTTTTGCCCACCTTTACAAGCAAGTGAAATCCCCACCAGCTAGCTCCTCAATATCAGAGGCTGGCTACACATGATGGTATCCCTAGGCCCTAATTAGTGCATAGTAGGTGCTCAGGAAATAGTTGTTGAGTGTGGTCAGGTTAGAATCAGCCTCTTGTATAGGCTTCAGTGGGAAGAAAGGGGACAAAGTGGCAGGTATGGAAATGTTATTTGGTGTTTGTTTTTGCTGATCTGAAAGTTTTTATTTATTTAAAAATTAAAATAAAAAATTAGAGATGGGCTAGTCTTGAACTTCTGGGCTCAAGCAATTCTCCCACCTTGGCCTCCCAAAGTGCTGGGATTACTGGTGTGAGCCACCACACCTGGCCTGATCTGAAAATTTGGGCGTTCTTTGTGTTTTGCTCTGTGTCTTTCCTTCCCCTTTTCTAGAGGAGCCCTGGGATCTCTGGTCCATAACTCCACTGAGCCCTAGCAGAAGATGCTACAGTCAATCTCTTCCTGACTTTGGGAATGCCTAAACTCACCCAAGTGATTAGGTGGGTGATTAGGCTGTGACCCCCACAGCCTGTCCCTGGTACTGCTGCTGGAATCTGCAGCAGACCCACGGGCCCAACACACACCTGGTTCTCACAGGTCTCTGACAGCAGATAAGAGAAAATCCAGGCTTCTGAGAGCACATCTAATGTATAGGCTGGATGCACAAATGGGGCTCTGGAACATTCTGTGACCTGGGATCTTGCCAGCTAGAAAAGCCTGTGCCAGCAACAGGTCTGCAGGAATCTTATCATTCCCCATTCCAAATAGGGGCTCTGACCATGAACCCCATGTCAGGGAAACTCAAGACTCTCCCTCCTCCTGGAAGCACGGAAAAGCATTAGCCAGACCCCTAGAAAGGGAGGGAGTTTGTTGGGCAGATACCCAGGATCGTGATATCCCAATGTTCTCTCTTAAAGTGCCAGGGTCTGAGTCTCACTGCCTTGACTTTTGTGCAAGTTCATGGTCCTCCAAGACTTTTCCTGCCCTCTATTTCCAGCCTCTGTCACTACCTGCCTCGATCCAGTGTGTCTCATGCTCACGGTTTCCTTGCTCTCGAGTTTGCTCTTGGCTTGGCAGTGAGTCATTCTGCCCATCTGACTCCTGGACCTTACCCTCATCTGTGCTTGCTTCTTGACTCAGAGGACCTGCCTGGCCTTGGCTTTGCTCTTTTCCTGGTGGCCCCATTGACACTTTTCCTCCTTCCACCTCTGGCCCACCCAAACCCACCGACCAAGAGCTCCATCTCTCCAGTGACTTACAGAGCTCCCAGTTTCATTCTGTTTTTACTTTCCAGTAGCATCTCCAGAGAGATGTCGAACTCCTCTTCCAGTTCATTGTGAGCAGCCAGTTCTCTGATTATTGCCTTAAACACTGTCTGATACGAGCTGCTGAGAAACTACAAAAGGACCAAGGAATGAAATATTCAGAAAATGGAAATTCATACTTTCTTAGTTTACTGCTTTTCTGACTCCCAAAGGTACCAGGTAACATTTCAACATATTATTCAAAAAGTACAAGCAGTGAGGGGAAAAGGGTGGCTAACAAGAACTCCTTTGAAGAGTATTTGTGTTATAATCATATCCTCTTCTTTATTCTCAATTTTCTCAAGAATTTTTTAACATCAATATGCTGGCTAGGTGCCATGGCTCATGCTTATAATCCCAGCCCTTTGGGAGGCTGAGGTGGGAGGACTGCTTGAGCCCAGGAGTTTGAGACGAGCTTGGGCAACACAGTGAGACCTTATCTCTACAAAAAAATTGAAAAAAAAAGCCAGGAGTGGTGGTGTGTGCCTGTAGACCCAGCTACTTGGGAGATTGAGGTAGAAGGATCGCCTGAGCCCAGGAGGTCAAGGCTGCAGTTAGCCAAGACTGCACAGCTGCACTCCAGCCTGGGTAACAGAGTGAGACCTGATTCAGAAAACACACACACACACACACACACACACACACACACACACACACACACACACGCCAGTCAGCCCCATAGAAAGCAAGGGAATTTGTTGAGCAGATACCCAGGATCTTGACATTCCAGTGTCCTCTCTTAAAGCACCAGGCTCTGAGCCTCACTTCTTTGACTTTTGTACAAGTTCATGGTTCTCCAAGATTTTTTCTGCCCCAGATTTACAGTCTCTACCACTACCTGACTTGATTCTTTCCAGTGCGTCTCATACTCACGATTTCAAAAAAAATCTTTGAAAAACATAAAATTATTTTATTTTTCTAAGTGTGGAGATGGCTATAGAATGTAAAAATGTTTCCGTGCTTTAAGAGCATAACAGGCTTTCTGTGCACTACAAATGGCCAAGCTCCCAGGGTGGCTTGTTTGTTCGAGGTGAAGAATAAGTCTTCAGAGAAGCAGCATAGCACCTAGTAGTTCATTGTACTGGACAGTTCTGCGTTTAAAGATTCTTTTCAAAGCGCCTTTTCATTTTTTGAAATTTGACCATCTTATCCCAAGTCTCTGCTGTTTACCAGGACTAACCCGTAGGTGGGTCCTCCCAAGATTTTCTTTCTGGGTCCCTTTTAATAGGAGGTGAAGGTTAGCTTCTTAGAGAGGAAAGCCAGGGGTTGGTCATGTTGCCTGTTTCCTGATCATCTATAAGTTGAGATTGTCGTTGTTGTTCAATATGTGATCATGGACATATACCATTAACTTACTAACCTCCCATAGTGAGTGGAAGACCAACATATTGGAAACTGGGTGCTTTCTGTCTGGCTTGCCTGACTCCCAGGCTTTGAACCCTTCCTCGCATCATTGCTCAAATCAGGGCTTCTGGGCAAGTTGAGGTTAAGGGTCTTGTTGTACACATTCCTGCCTCTGAATTCCCCATTGTTGACAATCCCTGTTTTGGAATGGAGTAGCTTTCTATTTGTCTAGGGTCAGTAATCTGACACCATTCCCTCTTGCATTTTATGATCTATTCTTCAGAAAATACAGTGTCCTTTGTGGTCTGCTAGATAGCTGACCCAACTGGGTGGGCCTAGTTGACTGTCTTGTGCCCATCTCGGCTGTGCCACCCCACTCCACAAAGTCAGCGCGTGTGACACCTTATAGGGTTCATCCCCCTTGCTTGCCCAGCATATAGAGTAGAACTAGCCTCGTCATTGTGGTAAGTGTATCAGGCACCTTGGTGATGAAGCCTCCCTTGTCCAGAGATCTCTCCCGGGTGAATCTCTGGGTCTGCAACAAAAACAATTTGCACAGCAAGATGTGTGATGCATGAGTGTGTCACAGAAATATAAGTGAGTGTGTGATAGTGAACTAAAAACAACGGATGAGTAAAGTTGTCAGAGAAACCAAGCTGTAGGTTGATAGCTCCCCTCCAGACAAGGGGTCTCAGCTCCCTCTCCTTGGTTTGTACTCCAGTGGTTTCTAGCATTTCCTCAAAAGGTGCCTCAGAAGTTCACACAAGCAACTCTTGATGTTGCAACTCCCATGTGATGTTCACCCAACTGGTCCACATCGGCCCACCAAGTTGCCTGGACATGTGCGGCTTTGGCCAGCGACATCACTGCCTATCGTGAGAATGCTAACTGTGCCACAAGACTTCCATAGTATCCTGGGCGTTCAGCCCTTGGGGGACAGAGCAATATAGGTATCAGGAGGAAAGGACCGCCCCCAACTCTGTGCCACACATTGTCACCTGGACCCTGAAGCAGCACTGCTTGGGTCAGAGTTTTATAATGTGTTTCATGATCAGTTTTCACAAGTGGCTGGCCTTTACGCTATGCTCATACATGACATTTAGATAAGAAACAAGACATCATATTATCCCCTTCCACCATTTTTTTGTGGATTCCCCCTCACTTACCAGAAACTCTTTTCCTAGATAACTGCAAACCCAAAGCTCCTAGGCTTATGTATAAAAACCAACTAACCTTGGTATGCTGTATGTATTTAGGAGGAAGCGGGTATTATCTACCTGCAGTAGTCAGACAAAAATACCCTACGATCCTATTTCTAAGGCTTCACTATATGCCAAGGATTCTATTATTGGCTGAATTGTGTTCCCTCCTTCCCATTCATACCTTGAAGTTCTAATCCCTAGTACCCTAGACTGTGATTGTGTTTGAATACAGGTTCTTCATAGAGGTAATCAAGTTGATGTGAGGTCATTCAATGGGCTTTAATCCAATATGACTGGTGTCCTTCACCAAAAAGGTGAAATTTAGACACAGACATATGAGACATAGAAAAAAGATGGCATAAGCAAGCACAGGGAGAAGATGGTCACCTATGAACCAAGGAGCAAGTCCTGGGCCAGATCCTTCCTTCACAGCCCTCAGAAGGAACCAACCCTGCCAACATCTTGATCTGACTTCCAGTCTCCAGAACTATGAGATAATACATTTTGTTGTTCAAGCCACTCAAGAGGTGGCATGTTGTTACAACAAGCCTGAGCAAACTAATACACATTCCAGATTAACATCTTTAGCCAAGAACTTTCTCCTAGAACCTAGATTGTTTATTTCTGGTTTTCAAATGAACTTCATCTGGATATCTTATAGGTGCTTAAAACTCAGTTTGTATCAACGAGAACTTTCTACTTTACTCAACAAATGCACCCTTCTCCTTCTCCTTAGCTTCCCAGTACGTAGAATGGAATTAAGCACTGTGTCACGGCAGGTGCACAGGGCACTGCCCCAAGCAGCCAGACTTTCTCATTTGTTCATTTTACTGCTATTGTATTTACTTATCCTCCTGTCCTGGCTTCTCCTACTCCAATCTATCATCCACAAAGCCATCGGAATGACCTTTACAGACGCCAAATTGATCCTGTCAGTGGTGAAAGAACGCAGTCAATGCCATTGGGGACTTTGGCTAGATTCTCGATGCCATATTGTTTATAAATTCCGATTATGTAGTTTTATAAATTCCAGATTATATAGTTTTAAAGATCCCATAGATCTAGAAGAAAACATGAATGAATTATAAAAATATTTTGATGGAGTGGAAATACCTTTCTAATCATGAAACAATATTCAGTAATCACAAGAGAAAATACTAATACATGAGACTACCTAAAAATTTAAAATGACCATGCCATGGAAAATACCAAGAAAGTTGGAATACAAAATACGAACCGAAAAAACAATACAACATGTATGTCAGAAAAATGACTAAGTTCTATAATGTATAAAAAACTTTTAAAAATTAGAAGGAAAAAGAAATAAACAACAGTGGGAGAGTAAACAAAGAATACAAACTGATCAGTCACAGAAAGAGACACACCTGACCAACAAAGGTAAAAAGTGCCCAACACCTTTTAGAATGAAGGAAGTGCAAAAGACAACAGTGAGATATTATTTTCACCCTATCAGATGACGCGTGGTGGGTGAAGAGGTGAGATGTCCTCATACCCTCTTGGTGGGAATAGGAAAATGACATAACCCATCTGGGGAGAAGTTTGTCAATACCTTTTGAGTTAAAGCTGCAGATACCTTTGGAATCAGCATTCAACAGTTAGGAGTTTATTCTTTAGTTACTCTTGCATTTGTATGTACTAACTCATGCACAATTCATTGGAATATATATACATATTAAAAAACAAAAAACAGGGGCAACCCCTTCGGGTGCCTTCCCACTGTGGGAGCTTCTCTGTCCTCTCAATAAATCCTGCTTTCTCACTAAAAACAAAAGCAAAACAAACAAACAAACAAACAAAAACTGGAAAAAACTTAACCATCTGCAGGGTGCTAGTTAAAGTATGGTACAGGATATAATTTATATTAAGAAGATTTCCAAAATTCGTTACTAAGGAAAACAAACTTCAGAACGGAATGTATAATATGGTCCCATTTATGGATGATATGTGTTTTTAAAGACATCATGTTTACATATACATTGCGATTTTCAGAATTATATATACAAAATGGTATATAGTAGTTATTTCTGGGACACAAAACGGTGGAGACTTGAAATGTTTATTTCATCGCCTAAAGACTATTTCAACATTTAAACGTCATGTGCACATGGCAGCTTCACAATTCAGAAGCTAGTGTAAACCAAAATGCCTGAACAAAACTACATCAGACTGCGTTCCATCCTTGCCTAAAACCCTTTAGTGGCAAAGCCTTGGAATGAGAGTTACCTTGCTCGGCCCACCTGTCCCAAAGAACACTCTTGGAACATTCCCCAATGTGCCAGGCCCTTCCAGAACCTCACGTAGCTATGTGGAGGAAATTTGTGAAGCCAGCCCCACCTGATACAGCAAAACCTCAACGCACAGGAGCCTTGACGTTGTCTGAATAATTTGTGTCTAATTAAAACAATTCCTTTAGGTTTCAACTTAAGTTGAAAAGTCTTCCAAAAATACCAGCGTTTACTTTCTTGTTTTGGTAAATCATTGAGGTAAATCGAAGTTCGAGCAATTTTTTTTTCTCTCCTCAATATAGTATTTTCATATTCAAAAAGCAAATCTTTTTAATACAGTGCTGTATTGAAACAAGTGCAGAAAGTAAGGAATTTTTAGGGCTAAATGTGAACTGAAATTAGAAAATCTCTCAATTAAAAACACTTGTAAAAAACTAGTTTTTTTGGTCTTTTCTTTTGTAAGTTTAGGAAAAAATATATGTGCTTAAGGTGGCTCACACCTGTAGTCCCAGCTACTCAGGAGACTGAGGTGGGAGGATCACTTGACGCCAGGAGTTACAGACCAGCTCGGGCTACCTAGCAAGGCCTGTCTTTAAAAAATGAACAAATGAAATGAAGACAACTAGAAAAAAGAGATGTACCTGCTTAATTTTGGGTGCCTGGGACACAGGACTCCACTCTCATGATTATGTTTAGTATCTATAGTTCTGAGAAAGTTTCTTAGCAGTAGAGGGGAGGAAGAATGATAATGCTTCCACCTAAATCAGCATGGGTCATAAGTCTCAGAGATGAGTTGACACAGGAAATTTGAGCCACCAGGCTGCCCCAGTAGGCAAAACATTCATGAGACATATATATAAAATCATAACACAAATTTTGTTTTAAAGACAATACAACATCCAGTGGATGTAAGGATTATTTAAACTATTGTGGCTTCCTGTCACATCTCTGGTTGTTGGGAACAGCTGGGGAGAGGATGCCTGTTGAATTTGCAGAGCTGGTTCTGTGACCCTCGGAAGGGTCCTGGTAGTGACAGGATTACAAAGTTAGGGGAGATGCACCACTGCTCTTTGTTGTGGTGTTTTGCCTGGAGCAGAGAGTTTATTGTCTAAAGTTTTCTGCCTTGCCAGATTGCTGTCTCTTGATAGATGATAAATAGATAGATAGATAGATAGATAGATAGATAGATAGATAGACAGACAGATCCACAAATAGCAGTGGTGCATCTCACCTAACTCTAGTCCTGTGACTACCAGGACCCTTCCGAGGGTCACAGAACCAGCCCTGCAAATTCATCAGGCATCTGCTCCCCAGCTGTTCCCAACAACCAGAGAAAGCAGGCTTTTTTTTTTTGAGTCGGAGTCTCACTCTGTCACCCAGACTGGAGTGCAGTGGCTGCTCCCGGCCACCGCAGCCTCAACCTGCTGGGCTCTGGTGATCCTTCCCCCTCAGCCTTCCAAGTAACTGGAATTACAGGCATGCACTACCACGCCTGGCTGATTTTTTGATTTATTGTAGAGATGGGGTCTCGCTGCCCAGGCGGGTCTCGAACCCACGGGCTCAGGCAATCCACTTTATTGGGACTTTTTTTCTGTGCTTCTTGGACTCTCTGGGTTGCTGTCTTCCCTAACACCCAGCCTAGGATATATGAGGGAAGAAAACCCAGGGAACTCACTGCCACGTTGGTCTTTGAATCCCAAGATACCCGTTGGCCTGCCTTATTTCCTCTATCTTCCAGAGTCTTCTTATGTTTGTTTTATATATAAAGTCTGGGATTTTAAGGTGAAATTAGTGGAAAAGATAAGGAAAAGTCCATGTAATCTATCTTCCCACAATCTAAAGTTATTTTTATCTTGGATTTCTTTTCTTTCTTTTTTTTTTTTTTTGAGTTGGGTTCTCATGATGTTACTCAGGTTGGAGTGCAGTGGCACGATCACAGCCATTGCAGCTTTGACCTGCGGGCTCAAGTGATCCTTCCATCTCAACCTCTTGAGTAGCTGGGACTACAGGCAGCTCCACGACACCTGGCTATTCTTTTTTATTGTTGTGGAGATGAGGTCTCGCTATGTTGCCCAGGCTAGTCTGGAACTCCTGGGCTCAAGCAATCCTCCTGCCTTTGCCTACTAAAGTGCTGAGATAACAGGCTTGAGCCACCGCACCTGACTACCTAGGATTTCTGCAAAGAATCCTTTGCCTTGATACTTGGATAATACTATTTGTTTTATTTTTTCTTTGTTGTCTTCAAAAACAATCTTGGGGATATCTTTTTCATAATACAAGCAGGGCACTCTGGAAGTTGGGGCTTGGAATACCACATTTGGCTTTCTTCTGATCCCTTTTCTTGACTTAGTGTCATAACTTAAAATTATGTCTGTTTTAATGAAAACTCCCTTGGGTTGTGTGAGCAACAGAGTGAAGCTTGGAATCCCAGGGCTCAAGGGATAGTTCCTGGCCGTCCTTGGGAGAATATGCTCCAATATTTGGGGGAAGGTGGCCTCAAGTTTTTAATCCAACTTACATTGTCATCCAAATCCTCTTCTTCCAGCTTGTCACCAGACTCATCCCAAAAGTCCTTAGAAACATACTCCATGGCTTTCAGTTTTGGAAGGTGCACCAAAAGGAAGGGCATTTGGAAAGGAAACCAAAAAAAAAAAAAAGTTAAAAAAGAAACAGAAATGCAAATACATTGATGGCATTTACCCTTGCCTTTCGAGAAAAATTGCATACATTATCCATGAGATTTTATTTTTAATTCTTTTTTGAGTCAGAGTCGCACTCTTTCACCCAGACTGGAGTACAATGGCACAATCACAGCTCACCGCAGCCTCAACCTCCTCGGTTCAGGAGATCCTTCCACCTCAGCCTCTCAGCACCACTAAACTTGGCTAACTTTTTTGATTTTTTTGTAGAGATGAGGTCTTGTGATGTTGCCCTGGCTGGTCTTGAAACCCTAGGCTCAAGTAATTCTCCCTCCTTGGTCACTCAGAGGACTAGGATTACAGAGGTGAGGAGATTTTAAATAAGTCCATCAAATTACCTAAAATTCAACTCGAGGAAATTAACAGGAATAAAAGGGTCAGATTTTGTAGCTGTCGTAAGAAAGTAAATGTGCATTCCTGGTGGCTGGTCAGTCTGACAAAGTGGCATTTGAATGAGTCCTGAATGAAGTAAAGGAGTGAGTCGGCAGAGAGCTGGGGAAGACCCTTGCTGGCAGGGGCTAGGAGGTGCAAAAGCCCTGAGGTGAGTATGGGAGGGTCAAATTAGACAAACTACAGGTGGAGCGGTATGCCTGGGGCAGAGCAGGGAGAAGAAACACAGCAAAGGGATCAGAGAGGAGGCTAGGGGTCAGAGCCTAGCTCACAAAAAGACCTTGTAGGTCCTAGGAAAGACTTTTGATTTTTATCCTGAGGGAGATTGATTCTTTTTTTTTTGAGTTGGAGTCTCACTCTGTCGCCCAGACTGGAGTGCAGTGGCCGTCCTGGCCACCGCAGCCTCGACCTGCTGGGCTCCGGTGATCCTTCCACCTCAGCCTTCCGAGTAGCTGGAATTACAGGCACGTGCTACCACGCCCGGCTGATTTTTGATTTATTGTAGAGATGAGGTCTTGCCAAGTTGCCCAGGCAGGTCTCGAACGCGTGGGCTCAGGCAATCCACTCACCTCAGCCTCCCAAAGGTGCGGGATTATAGGCTGAGCCACCGAACCTGGCTGGGAGATTGATTCTGAGTGAGATTTCCACCTGGGAATTTTTCAAGAAATATATATATATCTCGCTAGGTTTGTCAAAAATGGCCAATTTATGTAATTGCATATGGTTCATAATTGCTAATCAGAGCATAAGAGATGAATCCCTGAGCCTGTGAGTTAGAGACTGTCTATCCAAGTCAGTGATCGCCTTTGTTCTTACAGGTCAGCCACAGCCTCATGACTCACTGGGCCAGGACTGCGACTTAAGGCCTCTAGTGAGACGGGGTGCAAATTGAATTGTGGAATTGATTATTACAACCTGGGTCTCTTGTCCCTACTCCTGGGAAGGTGTGGATCTCCAGGCAAGAGCTCAGAGGAAGTGGCTGTGGCATGGTAATTGGACCCCTAGGGAAATTACGGTGGCCTTTTGTCTCAGCTTCAGGGTGACACCAACCCTTTCCAGCTGGCATGTCCGAGAGTCTGGAAAATTGACCAGGGTGGCACTGGGCTGACTTGTTTGATTTTTGTGCCCTTATTATGCCTTTGGGGGCAGAGAAGGGACATTATTTGTGATCTCCACATGTTACTTTTGGACTTCCACCTACTTTTGACTCTGTAACAAAAACTCTGACTCCTCTGTGCCCCGGAAGAAATGGAGAATTCCTCTGAGCTGGAGCTAACTTTACTCACACAGGCCCCCGGGTCCTTTCTCACTACAAACCTTCTTCAGCATCCCTGGTTTGTGCCTGGCAGAGACTTGCTGCTTGATAGACCCTGTGTGTCAGAATACCCCAGCAATTCTTTTCCATCACTTCCCACAGGGGCATACAAGCCACCCTGACTGGAGTACCCACAGCAGAGCAAAGGTAAGGGGCATGTTCAACTGGACTCTATAAATATTGTGTATTCCCAAACTGTCTGTCACGGGGACAATCAAGAGAAATTTTGAAAAGCCATCGAGAAAACCGCACAAGAGTTTTTGAGAATTCAAGCAAACCCTCTGGAAGCTCCTTATGGGTACACGGGAGAGGACAAATGAATGAACTGGTAGAAAAAGAGCCCGAGAGACCAAGAAGCAGGCTGTCTTGTGAGATGTGTAACTAAAAATAAAGTCCCCAGTCCCCCACTAATGGGCAGACGCCATCTTGGCCAAGGGAACCCCAGAGAACTCTTAAAAACTTAGTTCCCAGTCATATGGGAAGGGAGGTCAGACACACCTCGTTATCCCCTCTCCTCCTTGGAGTTTAGCACAACTGACTGGCATTAATGTTAAAGTGGAGATCCCAAGACTGGCAGCACAGACTCTGTGGCAATAAAATACCTAATTGTAAATAGGACCTAAGGTCATACCAGGCAAGGGTTCAAGTCACCTACCCTTATACTTAAAGAATTAACTATGTTCTAACTTCCTCAAGGTTTTTCTTTTTCTCTAGCAGCTAAACAAGAACTGGCCCAGAGGTAAGCAAAATTAAAATAATTTGCAGGCCAGGCTCAGTGGTTCAGCCTGTAATCCCAGCACTTTGGAAGGCCGAGGCGAGTGGATTGCCTGAGCCCACGGGTTCGAGACCCGCCCAGGCAACTTGGTGAGACCTCGCCTCTACAATAAACTTCAAAAAATTAGCTGGGTGTGGTAGCATACACCTGTAGTTCTGGCTACTTGGAAGGCTAGG